ATACCTTTTAGTACATATGTTGTTAAAATAAAAAGAACAGTCCAATGATCATTTTACTGATATGTATAAAGATCTTGAAGTCTGTATGAAATTGGAGGTAGTTTGAGGATTAAATTTTTTATGCTTTTTAAGCTCAAAAAAAGGGGGGGGTCGTATTATACATGAGATCGTATTATACACAAATAAATACGGTACTTACTTAAGCAAGCTCGACTGGCCACTAGATGCCCACCCCTGCTATAAAGACATCATCAACATACAGGCATATTAGTCATTATTTATAAATGGATGGAATAATTTTTTGAATCCTTAATAAATTGTWAAGTTGCTATTTTGGAGCAATTTGTTTGTTTTGTTTAATTTTTCTGTCAGTAACTGATACAAACATTGCACAAAATATCTAACGTCTGCCTCATCTTACACTTCGTCTTTCAAAGTTTGCCAGCTGACTCAGGTGCGCGTGTGTGCGTGCGTGCGTGTGTGTGTGTGTGTGTGTGTGTGTGTGTGTGTGTGTGTGTAACTCTAGGATCTGGGCTCAGCAAATGAGAAGATCTGGCCCGGCTACAATGAACTGCCCGCTGTGAAGAAGATGACCTTCACAGAGTATCCCTACAACAACCTGCGGAAGCGCTTTGGAGCGCTGCTGTCCAACCAAGGCTTTGACCTCATGAACAAGTAAGATTTTTAAACTCCAAGTCATCACTTAAAAACTTCAAATTATCTTCATATGTTATTATTTATTTGGTGATCTAAAACYTGTAAATGTCACAAAAAGCAAAAAGATTTCTGGTCATATTTTCTTAAAGGCGCACATTGATCCTGTGGATTAATAAAAAGGGATTCAGTTCCAAACAATCAGCTCCTACTGTGCAAATGACCGAACACAAACAAAGCAAAATATCCACTGTTGATTTCTGCTGATGTTTCCAGAGACTTCTGTGCAGTCAGTGCATTCCTGGCAAGCAGTTGTAAAACATGACAGCAGTAGTGGATTGGTAATTCATCAATGTGCCTCAGCGGCAGTCCTGTTCCAACCACATGTCACTTCATGCTACACTGTTTGGGAAAACGTTTAAGAAGCCACAATTTTCCTACAAAAAAAAAAAGCTTGTTCATTTACATATTTGTAGGTTCAGATTTCTCATTCTGGACACTTCAAAGCTCAGTGCAGTTTTGCTGCTGCAAGGATGAGTTTTGTTCTCAGATCTTTACCAACCCAGTGAGTCTTTTTTTCTACAGCTGTGATGGCCAAATCATTCTGCTCGAAGCTGCAGCGGATAACAACAAGTCCTGTGTCTTACTAGAAAGATCCCAGCTCGGTGGGAGTCTGGCGGATGTCAGAAAACTCTGCAAGCATTTTACACTGGTTCACGGCAGGTTTACATAGAGTTGTTTTATTTGAAGAAGAAATCTATAGGTGTAGCTTTGCTGAGGGGCGTCTGGAATATCACACATTCCTGAGCAGGAAAGTGTTTGAAGATGAAGGTATTTTCTGTTTAACCTGTGGAGAGGCCTCAACACACAACTGATTTTTGAACCTGATGCACTTGTTTTAATATATCTCAATGCTGAAGCAAACTTCCATGAAAGWTTTGTCAGTTTTACGCCTAATGCAAACTCAAACCTGCAGCCTCAGGATTATGAGTGTTTTTTTTATTAACCTTTATCTGAAAAGAGATTCATTGAGTGAGAACTAATGTTGAGAGCTCAGCAGACAGTTTAAGTTTCACTTTCACTTTCACTTGAGAGCCTGCAGGAGTCAAGGGCGGGGTGTGGGGAGGGAAGCCAAACTTCCACCATGAGGAAGTTTGGCTTAAAGACACGTCCAAGGGGCGTTTCTGGTCCCGAAAGGCGTTCCTGGTCCCCACCTGTCATTTTGCTCCTCAGCATGGCAGCCTAAAAACACTGCAGGATTTCTCAAACATGCATGAATGAGTCAGAGCAAGACTTTGGGCATGTTTTTTATATGAGAGTATAACATTATAACATGATATAAAACTCAAAAAAGTTGATTTTACATGATATTGCCCCTTTAAAGTTTCCACTGATTGTTTGGTTAACTTAGGAGGATTGAACAAAGTCCTTTTGTTACTAATTCATGATGAACCCAAATAGCTCATTACAAATAGGTAACATTAAAATAGTTGAATGCAGTAGTTACAGTGTAAGTAGAGTGGAGTTGACTTTCTGTACTCTGACCCCAGTATGATGAGTGTACACTGAGTCAGTACCTAAAATCAGACCAAGACATCCAGATTATTTATATTTCCACATGTTTGAGTTGAGATACTCTGATTTAAATTCTCAGAGTAATAACCTTAAAAACTCTGATTTTGATTGTCTTATTAAGTAATTATTTTGCAGCTTGTGTCCAAGGCACTGTTAAATAACAACCAGCTGGCTCCTGAGGGTCCAAATAAGGATGGAGGTCTCACTTGTTTGAAAAGTGTGCAACTCTAAAGCAAACAGTGTCGTTGTCAAGTATTTCTTCATATGCAAAGAGATTTAGATTATTTTTGCTCACACTTTAAATTATTTCCTCTAAAAGACACGTTTTGCACTGAAGCAGGTCTCTGTTGTGTTAATCTCATCACATTAGAATTGTAAACAAGCTGATTCAACTTTCTGGCCCCTTGTGTCAAATTCTGCATTTTATTCTCAAATACTTTCAGTGGTAATATGTCTTTACTGCTCAGTGACTCAAACAAAAAGCAATGCCAATCTCCCCCTTGCATCATCTTTTGACCGGTTCTTGTCACCATTTCTCTGGCTTTGACGCAGAAACATGACTCCTTCACAGTTTAAACCTGTCTACAAAGCTCTGATTGATTTTCCAAAAGGGGCTCTCAGTGAGCTAAATGCAGACCTGCTTGAGGCACTGAAAGAGTCTAAGGTGAGGGCAGCCATGTAGGAGTCTGCCACAAGGTTGCATCTTTACCTAATAATTTATATAGTTAATGATGACTTTATTTTACAGAACAGTTTGGTTCTTTGATTAAACAACAATTAAAAATTTAAAATATCCGTTGACTGTTGTTTTTTTTTATTCTCAGATTCCTCACCTACTGCCCCAGTAAGAGGATTTCGGCAGATGATGCGCTGAAGCACGAGTACTTCAGAGAAACACCCCTCCCCATCGACCCATCCATGTTCCCCACCTGGCCTGCCAAGAGTGAGCAGCAGAGGGTGAAGAGAGGCACCAGTCCTCGTCCACCCGAGGGAGGCCTGGGCTACAAAAACCTGGTAGGGACATTAAGCTCCACTTTCTCCATTACACACAGCTACCAGGCTTTCTTAGTGTTGCTGTCTGTGTTAAATAGATTACAGACCTACAGGCTTCTGCTTTGTGTCCGAGTATTTCCTTCTTGTGTTTTCCAAGACGAGCCTTTTTAAAGCTTCTAATGTTTTAAGCAGCGGTCCTACTCGCCCAAAAGTCGATTATAGATATTATTTCAGGAGTTTCACTATTTTCCACTTAAATTAGACCATGACAGAAGAATTATTGTTTTTTGTAGATTTATTCTTGTCAGTGCTGAAGAGGTTATATAACCTAATAAAAACTCATTAAAACAATAATGAGTACTGATAATATTTAACATCATGTAAAGTTGTGGACACAGATAAATTTGTTGGTACCTTTACAGCTCTGTGTAACTGCTTCATTTCTCATGAAAAATTATTCAGTTAAAGCAATTACTTAATGTATATCAGCATTCTTCACATTAGCCAAAAAATTGGTCGCGATTAATTGTGGCATTTAGCCGCTAACAATAAATATAACAATAAAAACTTGTTAAAACCACCAAACCAGTTTTTAAGCAGGTATGAGTGTGGCCAGATGGTTCTTCAGAGGCACTCCAGGAGCGCTTCAGCACACCAGACTGTGATATGTTTAGGGAAGCTGCTAAACACAACAACAACACACACATCCAGAAGTACACAGAAACTGTCAACGCCTACATCGCCAAGTGCATTGATGATGTAACTATCCTCAAGACCATCACTGTTCGGGCTAACCAGAAGCCATGGCTGACAGGAGAGGTCCACAGGCTCMTGAAGGCTAGAAATGATGCCTTCACAGCAGGAGACCAGGCAGGCTTGAAGACAGTGAGGGCCATCCTGTCCCATGGCATCAGAAAAGCTAAGAGGCTGTACTCAAAGAAGATATCCCAGCTCTTCAGTGGCAGCAGAGACACTAGGAACTAGGGGTGCACGATAGTTATCGGCCCGATATCAGGGAATTATGACGCCATACTTATCAGTCCGATATCATAGCAAACAGAACCAATAATATATGTTTGCTAGCGTGGATATGAGAATGCATTTTTTTATCCTTTTTGTTCAAGCCACTTCCTGTCCGGCACAACCCGAGCAACGTTCAAGTTGCATCGGAATAAACAACTTTCTCACTAWAACAATAATTAGAATACTCCATGCTGAAAAACAACCAGTCATTTTAAGAATTATTTACAGTGGGGAAAATAAGTATTTAGTCAGTCACCAATWGTGCAAGTTCTCCCACTTAAAGAGTAACTTACCCCAAAATTAACTTTTTTTTAGCTGATAAACTGTCTAGAGTGTGTCTAAAATGTTATATAGTACTGTTTCTGTGCTAATTTTGATGTTTTTGTGTGTATTTGTTCAAA